GTACAGTGATATCGATCTTTAAACACTTACTTGTTCTAATTGGACATTTTAAAGCCCTCTTCAGTATTTCTTTCCCTTAATCATTTGGCGACATTCTCCTACACAATAAATGATACATCAAATTACTTACCAGAAAGACACCCCATTCTCTCTCCCTCTCTCCCCTTTATTATACATACATGTACATGCAATGTAGTGTGTATTGCGTCTTGATACATAATAAAAAATAATAACAGTGTTCATGCATACATTAATGTACCGTATTTCCTCGTGGAAACGCCTACTCCCTATAAACGCCCATGCCTGTATAAACGCCTAGAGACAGCACATAACTTTGACAATAAACGCCCATGCTTGTTTAGACGCCCATTCTTGATTAAAAGCCTATACCACACCCACCTACCCCATCCACGCGCGTGGTACATGTACCTTACGTAGTTTAGTAGTTTACATTCTACAATGGCAGCTGCAGCTGAGAAGGCTAAAGAAACTCAGAAGTTTTGATGTCAGTTTTAAACTACGCGTTGTGTCTATTGAAACATGGTGGTAAGGATTATTTTTGGGTTATAAACGCCCACCTCGTATAAATGCCTACTTCATTTAAACGCCTAGCAAACAGGTCTCTATAAGAAATAAACGCCTAGGCATTTCCACGAGGAAATACGGTACATGCATAATATGTAGGTATTTTACAGTTGATTACTTGAGTTAGTATGAGGAGGAGTGAAATACCAAGTCATTGAGAACAGAGAAATGCAGTACCTATATTTACAACATGTAGAGAATAATTGTGTGTTATTAACCTATAGCAACCTTACAACATGTCAGCTTTAAGGTATAATTATTAGAGCAAATACTTATACTACATGATGAATCTTGCGCACACACGGTGCACCTTAATGTAAATTTCGTCACGAAGGCAATAACAATTATAATTGCATATGCAAGCAATCAATTTATATGATTTATAAAACTTTAACTATCAACAACCCCCAAGCAGTAGACAGTACTGACAAAATGAAAAGTGGCTTAAATTTAAGTGCCATAAACCCATATGTATCATCATGCAATTGTAAACATTATACAACTAAATATACAACTAAAGAGCAATCTACCTGCCTATAAGAATGAGCTGCCTAAAGCAAGACGACAGCAGGACTGTGCAGCCGAACTGCACCCTCCCTAAACCGGAAGAATTTTCTTTGCAACCGGAAAAGGTGTTACCCAAGAAAATGGCTGAACTTAGGTTGTACTTTGTTTTTAGCTGGAAATCTTTACTGGACCACTATTAAAGCTACTTTATGCTATCATTTTGATTACTTCAAGGTCATAAATGAAATACTTTTAATGGAGAATCAAAGTTCTATGTTCTATGGCAATAAAAGGACCATGTGTGACATTGCTAAATGGAAAGGAAAAGCAAGAAAGCTATTATTTCTATACCCGTAAGTGGGACAATGAATGTTTGGTTTTATAGTGTTATAATAATGATCGTGGGACACAATGAACATGATAAAATGAATTATATGGCTAAGTACCAAGTTTGTAGTACAAATGAAAATTACAGTATTACGTTAGCTATCACTTGTCATGTATTAGTAGTCCATGTTGTTTAACCATGGGCCACAGTATGATACAGATGTGTTGCTAGACTTATTCTCTACATTTGCTGATGGTGTAAACTGTACATTGTTGTTTGTGTTGTGTTTATTTGACCTTCAAAATTATCACCAAAATTATTTTGTGATATAACTTATGTCATGGCAGTGGTGGGTAAATGCATGTCCTGATTTTG